AAATGTTAGGGAGGGACGATTTGGGAAAAGATTCATTCAAAACGAATCTGCTGCGTGGTTCGGAGATTAGATGCGTACATATGAACCGGTGGGACATAAGCTAACATACACTTGCTGCACGTCGCATAAAACGCTCAAAAATGTCAATATGTGAGAGTAAGAGAAGAGCAGACATATGGATAAATCTGACGACGCAAGAGAGAACTAATTTCGGTCCGATTTTCTGAGCGCAGACACTGAAGCACACACACAGGAAGCGCGTCTCACAGCGCGCGAGTACTCTTTCACATCGCATGAACGGAGAATTATACACAAAATTATGTTGAATTGTCCGTTTTGATGAGTATTCACGTAAACACAGTGGATTATGTCTTAAGTGAACGTAAACAGCAGGGAGAACGTGTATCAGTACATTGCATCCATTGCATCTGTGCATTCGGTTTTAAAAGGACAGCAGCCTAATTTAGTTGCTATTGTCTGAGCCATTGATGTTAATCAAGCAACAAAAGAAAGAAAGACAGAAAATCACGCACTGCTCTTGACTGAAAAACTTTAGTAGCCCTACAGATTAATCTACATTTATTTATAGAAATAAATATGTCTGCTTGAAAGAATGAAGAATATGGTAAACAAGTTGCTATAAAGAATGCATAATTCGCCTATATAACCATTGGTATTTAATTAAAAAGAAGACCATGTTCTTGTTCTTTATGAGAAGTGGTTTTAATAATTTTAACATAAAGGCATGTTGTGTGTCACCGCAGTTAAATCGGTGTTTATCATGAAAAAACTTTAATATCAAAGCTATATAATGAGTTTGGAAATTTTAGAGAAATGCTTAATAAATGCACTGTAACTAAACCCATTCGATTTTAGCCAACTAAATTTACTGTAGATTTAGTCGACTAAAACTAAAAACAATTCAGATGACTAAAATATGACTCAAACTAAATGGCATTTTAGTCAAAAGACTATGACTAAAACTAAATCAAAATTTGCTGTCAAAATTAACACTGGTATAAAGTGAAAAGTCATGATTTGCACGGACATTATTAGTTTTTTAGGATTCATGTCTGTTAGTTAATTATTACTGCAGACGTGAACTGTAATGTTTATGGTCTTTTCGGGAAGGATAAGTGATATCAATCGAAGCTCGGTGTAGACTAGGCTATACCACACTGCCGACAGTAACTGACCTAATAAAAACTATATTTCTGTACAGCATGTAATTACACATGATCTGGGATTATTAAAAGAAACTGTACCATTCGACATCTTGCTTGGAAGGACAGAATTATAATGCTTGGAAATATTTCACGTCTTTAATTCATTCATTATGTAGCGTGCCTGCCATCCAATAATCGCAGTAAGTTTTGTGCTTTGTTACTTTTAATCAGAAATAAAGTATCAGCTTTCATATTCTGTCAGTTTTATCACAAAATACGAACTATAAATGTGGTTTTTCAGCCACAGAAAGATGTCAGTAAAACAATGTCACGTAAAGTCACATTTACCTCAGGAAAGACATTTATTGTACATAAACTCGATAGTCAGATAAAAAAAATTACTTTATAGAAAGAAACATTGTATTAGATTCATTATATTTTACTTAACCTGCTGCCTTTATTTTTAATGTTCGTTTGAAGAAATCTGTGCAGGGAGACTTCAGATAGCCTATAAAAACCGTGGACTTGTTAGAAAATGTTTACTCAATAAAAACATGGTGCGGTGGCTTCACTTGTTATGTCTTGAGCAATTCAGTTTTATATAAGTAGATGTAGCCATTGCAGCGTGAAGTCGTCTCAGCCATCACTGCGGGAGAATGTGTCAGCGTGGACGCATTGTCTACGCCGGGCGTAGATGAAAAACATTCTGTAAGCTTTATATTCGAATCTCTGAAAAAATTTTGGCAGAGATGTCCTTGCGTTATCCTGTGGGTGGCGCACTAATGTTGAGTGACAGGCTTGAAGTAATGCTACATGCATAAAGTGCTGTATAATAATTGCCTTAATATAGTATTTATCACCTCCAAATGTTGATTTAGAATGTTACAAGTTGTGGAGCAATTCGGGTGAGGAAAGACGATCATACGTCTGTTCTCAGAATAAACAAAACAAACAACAGAACCATATAAAGGCTATTCATGTGAGCACATTTAAACTAAAGGATGTAACGTATAGCCTACTTTGTTAATTTGATCCACTACTCCACAAAGAAAAAAAAAACAGACATGGCAAATTACTGACCTGATGCAGACACATAGCTGAAGCGGATTGATATCGTCTTGGTGGAGCGAGGTTTACGTAAGTTAATGTGAAAATAAGCAGGGCAGTCTCAAATCTGCCCCAATGGCTCTAAATTAGAGCGCGCTGCAGTTCCCCTTTTTACCACAGATTTACGTTGCAAAATTGTGGGGCGCTGTTGAGCTCAGGTGGTCTCAGGCACCATCTGCCCCGCTTAGTATCATGTATACATGCCTGCTAAAGCCATGCACGGGATTTTAATATAATACTGCTTACTTTACGACTTAAAATAGTCTAGAAAATCCGAAACATATTTGTGTCACGATTTCGGTGAGGTCTACTTGGGCTTTGTTATCATGGAGCACATGGCCTCTTGTTTTGACGGCTTGCCATGTGCTCTGCTGTCATCCTGGTGTTCACCCCGCCCCTCTCGTTATCCCTGTTAGCTAATTCTCCCTTCTCACCTGCACCTCGTTTTGTCCTCATTATTCTTCCCTTTATCTGGCCCTCTTGAATGCTATCTTGTGTCAGTCCGTAACATGTTGTGCAGCAGCTTAGATCGTCTCTGTCCATGCTGTGTTTGTCTGAATCGTTTTTATTTTATTTTTTCTAGTCTAGTCGGTCTGGCGGTCCTGTGTTTGTCCCCCTCCTCTCTCTACCCTGCTGCCTCTCTAGAACTCGGGTCGGCTCCCCTCGGCTCATTTTTCATTCATTTATATTTAATTTACAAAAACATGTTCTAATGTTTCACTCCCTTGTGTAAAAAGGGTGTTTTCAGAAATTCAACAATGAGTGCATGGTCTTGTTTGCAATTACATATACAGTGCTTAACAAATTTATTAGGCCACCACCAAATAGGTTTGTGCCACAGCTGCCCTAAACCAAGTATCAGTGATTACCAAAATTACCATTGTTATGTTTCTGTAATGGTTAATCCACCAGTATGTGTAAGATCTTTAGTCACAGTAGTGTTTATAATGCTAAAATATAATTATTGTTGGGATTGAATGATTCTAAGATAGATTGCACAAAAGTTTAATCAAAAGCAAGTCTTTGGGAACAACTAACTATTTGGAAGTCGGTAACAACAGAGACTGTGGAAAAGTGCATAAAAATGATGCCAGCAAGAATGCAAGCTTTTATCAAGGCCAAAGGAGGCCATACGCAATAAAAATAAAATAGCCTATTTATATTTTTTGGTTTATTAGTTTTTGGTTATTATGAGAGAATAAAGACTATTTAGTTGTTTCAATTTGTTATTTGCCTAATGATAACACAATTTTTAGTTTTAAACAAGTTTTTGACGGGCGGTCTAATAAGGCGGTCTAATACATTTGTTAAGCACTGTATGTAGCTACATATACTTTTGTGAGGATTTGAACTGAAAATAAAACTTACAAACTCACTCGTTTACACTTTGCCCCTTTCTTGGTTGCCAATGGCTGCAAACAGGGCTGGATTGGTAATCGGGCATTTTCCCGGTGGGCCGACGCACTCAAGGGGCCGACTTTTTTTGCCGAGGACCATCACGCAGGGACAGTGAGCAGCCAGTGGCCCATTGGTTTGTCTCTTGTATTGTCAGAGTAAAACATCCAATCACAATGCGCTATAGACGGAGCCATGAAGTATTTTGCTCTGCCGATATAAAGATCGCATCACCCCAACTTCTTCCTCTTCGGCATTTCCCACGTTACGTTTTCACAGCAGATTTATCAAGAACAGGCTTGCTCTGCGGTGAGGGATGCGGGCCAAAGAGCAAGGCAGGAGGAGAAGAAGACACTACATACACTACCAGTCAAAAATTTTTGAGCAGTAAGAAAGATCTAATAGAAAGATCAAAAGATCAGCATTTATCTGAAATAAAAAGCTTTTGTAACATTATACATATACCATTAAAATGCTTTGAGTCAGTATCATGACTGTGGTGATAGAAATGAATACTTTTATGTAGCAAGGATGCTTTAAATTGATCAAAAGTGACGATAAAGACATTTATAATGTTACAACAAATTTATATTTCAGATATATGCTGTTCTTCTGATGTAAAGCATTCTACTCAGCTGTTTTCAACATAATAATAATAATAATAATAATAAATGTTTTTTGAGCAGCAAATCAGAATATTTGAGTGATTTCTGAAGGATCATGTGACTGGAGTAATGATGCTAAAAATTCAGCTTTGAAATCGCAGGAATAAATTATATTTTAAAATATATTCTCTCTCTCTCGAAGTGGTGGTGGGCCGCCTGGACCAAACGTGAAAGCGCAGGGCTGATCGACGCTCCGTAGCGGATTCTCACATCCATGAGCGAGGCATTTCAGTTGAAGAGACGGAAGTTGCGCGACAGCATGCTCCTAGAATCTGTTTGAGTAATATGTGGCCGTCGAAACGAAAGCGCAAGGGTTCACGCAGTAGGCTATAGCCTATGTGTGAATCTGGCGATAGATCACGCATACACTGTTTAAGAAAAACAAACTTTTAACAAAACTTTCAGCTAACTTACGTTCTGATGAAAGGGTAGCCGTATAGCCCACGGCTAGATAACGTTAGACGTTTGAGAAAACATCGCTTGTTTTACCGCAGAACATTTATTTGCTTGGTGCACCCCTGGGCACTTGTCCAATTGCCCCTATGGTTATCCGTCGGCTCTGCCCCGCCTGCCCATAGACGAGCCGCGCCTGGCGCACACACACATCTAATGAGGCATTTATGCGATAACATCGCACAAGTTATGAGAATTAAATGAATGGACTTACCGGTAAATTAAACGGAACTTAAGCTTGGTTTACAGCTGTCTGAAATGGCGTTTTATCCGAAGCTGAATTTACTTTCAGTTTCGATTTCTATCACTTTGAAGGATGACTAAAACCCCCATTATCCCGACTGTGATTGGTTCATCCGGACAGCAGACGTCCCTTTCAAAAAATATTCTGTTGTATTCCATGTGGTAAAACATTAAAAGGCAAGAATTTACTCCACAAACATGAGACATCTGCCCGACGTGCAGATCATGTCTATATTGCGTCGGTCGGTCCAGGACTATATCTGTACGTCTAAACGACATGCAAATCCGGTGTTGTTGTACCGAAACCCCCCGTGAAAATCTTGTCCCCCCTCGCCTCACACATTAATACGCAGCGCAACGACTTAAAATGCATTTCGTCCGGCTTTTCTTCGATTTTTACTGAATATTTTTCGATGTTCCACACAGCAAGCACCTTAAGGAGCCTATATGAAAGCGTTGTCGACATTTAAAGTAATAAGCAGAAATTTAATTCGTCCGTAAACTGTCAAGACTTCCACAGGGTTAAGAATAAAGCTGCCAGCTGGCAAAATAAAGCTGTTAAATTCACATTGTATTGACTATCCTGCTGCACGAAGATCCAGGTCGTATATGCTGCTGTCATTTCTTAGTTCACTCCGTGATTCGAGTAAACACTGTATTACTCTGCCCATTGAACTTGCATATGCAATAAAGCAGTGGTTCCCAACCTTTTTTTCAGGAGACCCCTATTTAAAAAAAATAATAAAAAATGAAGACCCCCCCCCCCCCCCCCCCCCCCCCACACAACCCCGGGGGGGGGGGGGGTTGGGGGGGACGACAGCTGAAAGTAGCTCAAGTTATTTTAAAATTTGTGCAGTGAGCTGATTGGCTGAATGGTTTAATGGATGGGTGTGGCCTTTGAGGATGAAGGGACCCTTGGAAGATCATGACAGTTAAAAAAAAAAATGAACACCCCCCCCCCCCAATTCAAACACACTAGCAAACACATTTCATTTAATGTGACAGTCAGTTTTTAATCAATGCAAACCATTAGCTGCAACTTGCAACTATTGATTTTTTCCTAAACCTGATGAACAAATAACAGCAGCACATTATATTCTGTTAATGTAAATATCAAACACATCTATCCATTTCAACTTATTACCTTAAAAACCTGTAACAACATGCAAGGGTTCACAAGAACAAGACTTTTCTTTTCAGGCTCTGCTTTTTAACTGATGAACAAACGGGAGCAAATTCAAATCTATTAACATGAATATCATTTAATCAGATAATTAATGTATTATTGTGTTTTGTTATTGGTTTTGTATTCTAAAAACTAAAAACATGAAACAATGGCATTTCACCTGCCATTTTCTTTTTGCGGCGTACGTTCCCATTCTCGCGATACGCTGCAAAAAATTCTCGACGTTAAGAGAATTTCTTCTCTTTCCATAAATTAATTATTTTTAAAATATTTAGAATTGAAATATTTATCGTGCTGTTATAAATTATATATATATATATATATATATATATATATATATTTTAAATTTAAACAAGTGCAATTGGCGACCCCTCGAAAATTATTAACGACCCCTGGGTTGGGAACCACTGCAATAAAGAATAATAATAGTTAATCGCATTTGTTTCTCGCATATGCATTCATATATACGCAAACACGCTATAACTAGGCAAATAAATGTTTGCACACTTTAAGTAGCGTGTGTCATTACATCAACCAAATAAAATTATTACCAAATTTTTATTAAAGGTGTGACAATTGATAAAAAAGGATGTAAAAAAAACTTTTAATTTTGTTATATATATATATATATAAACACACACACACACACAGTTGCAATCGAAATTATTCAACCCCCAGAGAGTGCATACTTTACAAATACAAGGTTTTCTGAAGATCCAGCACTTTGTAAAAAAAACGAAAAACAAAAATGCATCTATAACAGATTACTGGCATACATACAATTAAAACACAACAATATCCATTGCATGGCCCAATGGTTAGAGAGTCAGACTCATAACCCAAAAGTTGTGGGTTCGAGTCTCGTACCGGCAGGGATTGTAGGTGGGGGGAGTGAATGTATAGCGCTCTCTCCCACCTTCAATACCACGACTGAGGTGCCCTTGAGCAAGGCACTGAATCCCCAACTGCTCCCCGGGAGCCGCAGCAAAAATGGCTGCCCACTGCTCCGGGTGTGTGTGCACTTTGGATGGGTAAATGCAGAGCACTAATTCCGAGTATGGGTCACCATACTTGGCCACATGTCATGTCACTTTTTTTTAATGTGAACCCTGGACCTGCATATCTAGGGCTAGAGATTGGATATTAGGCATGACGAAAGTCATTGTGCACTTCCAGCTTGTTGCGTGCCTTCGTTTTGATGGTTACCAGAGAGCTAAAAGCAGTCTCGGACAGGTATGTTGTGGCGAATGGCAGGATGAGTCTGGTTGTAGCATGGTGCGCAAGCTTGGGTGCGACGTTGGGTCCTTTCACCAGCCAGAACCGTTTGTACCCGTGTTCGGTAAAGAATCTCCTCAGAAGAGAATTAGACTTGTTATCCAAGAGCTCGTCCTCCGCTTCTAAATACTCCACGTCCTCCTCCTGTAACGGGGCGACAGAGACGTGAGACGTGTGGATCCATGTGCAAGCTTTATTCTGAACAGAAGACAGAGACGTGGTCGTAACAGGCAGGGTCAAACAATGGCAAACAGGTATATGGCGGGCAAAACACAAGAATAGTCCTAGGGCTAGCGTAGGTCGACGATCGGCAGACAGAATCACGGGTGAGACGAGAGGGATAAATCCAGGGAGACAGGCAGAGATCAGAACCGAGGAAACCGACAAGGCAAGGCAAGGCAAAACAAGGAAACACGGGAAGGAAACAGGAACTAGGAAAACTAACAGGCTAAGCAATACTCGGCAGTGAATGGTAGTTTGAGTGAGTGATATATAGTGAGTGAGTGATGTGAAACAGCTGTGTGCAATCCGTGCTGAGTGCAATCAGTGCAATGAATGATGGGATATGTAGTCCGGGGTGATGTGCAACAGTGTGTAGTGCGAGAGTCAATGTAATGGAAAGGGTGACCTCTGATGGTAAGCAGATGGAAGTTCATGGACCGGATTCATGACAATTATCACCAGTAAAATATGGAGTGGCACAAGGATCTGTCCTAGGTCCTCTGCTATTTTCAATATACATGTTGCCCCTTGGTAATATTATTAGAAAATACGGTATTAGTTTCCACTGTTATGCTGATGATACTGAACTATATATATCAACATGACCAGATGAAACTTTTAAATTATCTAAGCTAACAGAGTGTTAAAAATTTAAAAGATTGGATGACCAATAATTTTCTCTTATTAAATTCAGATAAGACAGAGATATTACTTATTGGACCAAAAGACAATACACAGAATATCTTGGATAACAATTTGCAACTAGACGGATGTATTGTTACTTCCTCTCACAGTAAAAAATCTGGGTGTTATATTAGATAGCAACTTGTCTTTTGAAAATCATATTTCCCATGTTACAAAAACAGCATTCTTCCATCTTAGAAACATTGCCAAGTTACGAAACATATTACCTGTTTCTGATGCAGAAAAGCTAGTTCATGCATTCATGACCTCTATACTGGACTATTGAAATGCACTGCTAGGTGGTTGTCCTGCATCTTCAATAAACAAGCTACAGGTAGTCCAAAATGCAGCGGCTAGAGTCCTTACCAGGTCAAGAAAGTGTGTGTGCACTTTGGATGGGTAAATGCAGAGCACTAATTCCGAGTATGGGTCACCATACTTGGCCACATGTCATGTCACTTTTTTTTAATGTGAACCCTGGACCTGCATATCTAGGGCTAGAGATTGGATATTAGGCATGACGAAAGTCATTGTGCACTTCCAGCTTGTTGCGTGCCTTCGTTTTGATGGTTACCAGAGAGCTAAAAGCAGTCTCGGACAGGTATGTTGTGGCGAATGGCAGGATGAGTCTGGTTGTAGCATGGTGCGCAAGCTTGGGTGCGACGTTGGGTCCTTTCACCAGCCAGAACCGTTTGAATAGTCCTAGGGCTAGCGTAGGTCGACGATCGGCAGACAGAATCACGGGTGAGACGAGAGGGATAAATCCAGGGAGACAGGCAGAGATCAGAACCGAGGAAACCGACAAGGCAAGGCAAGGCAAAACAAGGAAACACGGGAAGGAAACAGGAACTAGGAAAACTAACAGGCTAAGCAATACTCGGCAGTGAATGGTAGTTTGAGTGAGTGATATATAGTGAGTGAGTGATGTGAAACAGCTGTGTGCAATCCGTGCTGAGTGCAATCAGTGCAATGAATGATGGGATATGTAGTCCGGGGTGATGTGCAACAGTGTGTAGTGCGAGAGTCAATGTAATGGAAAGGGTGACCTCTGATGGTAAGCAGATGGAAGTTCATGGACCGTATTCGTGACACCTCCTTTGCGGTGAATGGATCCATTACCCATGCCCATTTGGCGACATGTTCATTAACATCCGAAAATGGTGATTTCATCTCCTCTTTAATAAAGTTAACGATCCTTATAACTGTCTTCAGTGTTTCATTAAGTTCATCAGAGAGGTGTTTGCTGGCCAGGGCTTGACGGTGTATCATACAGTGAAACACAAGACAGTGGGGAGCCTTTTCCTTCAAACGTGTATTGAAGCCCTCATTTTGTTCCCATCATTGAAGCAGCTCCATCTGTGAATGTGATGCTTGGTGAAGTACATGTCAATCGCGTGGAAAATATCTTCTCGTGTTGTTGTAGACAAATTAGTTCACAAAAGTATGTCCTGTTTTATTTCGCCGTCTTCAATGTACTGCACATATGCAATGAGGACTGCTTCATCTGCCACAGTAGACGTTTCGTCAAGTTGGATAGAAAATGGGTGCATCTTTAACTTTGCAACCAACAAGTTCTCAACATCATTCGCCATTCTGTCGATTCTGTCTTTTATCGTATTATTGGACAGAGGTACAGTTTTTAGTTTCGAAGCCACCTGTGCCCCGCACATTA